ACTTTATATAAACACAAATGTATAAATTGTATTTGTATAAAGCGAGAGAAAACTGTATATACAAATACAAATACATACCTCTTCGTCCTATACACTTATAATTATACAATACAAATCTTCCCCTGCCCAGTTATCTTTTGCCTTTCGCTCTTTCTCGCTTTATTCAAACACAAATTATGCAAAATACAATGTATAATTTGTGTTGTATAAACGAGAGATATTTGATATACAAATATTTTAATTCGATTCAATTGTATACAAATTCAAAATTTATGCAGATATACAAACATAATCATTGATACATATACATAGTAGTTACATATATACAATTATCTAACCGATATACATATACAATCGCTGCGCTTTTTATACAAACGATGCATGCCTGCGATTTATACAAATGAGATGATCCATGTATTTGCTATGTAGCGCAAATAACAAAATATAGCTATAGGGCGCTAATATGATTTTTAAACTTAAAATTTACTCTTTTTAAAATAATATATATATATATATATATAGCAAGAATTTTGATTTTAATAGCAAATACACTCACGATCAATACACATATCTCCTTATTTCAAAAATGTAATATAAGTGTATCGCATAAAATACAATGACATACAAGTAATATTTGGTGGAGGTTCTGGTGATAATACACGTGAATTTTCAAAAAAATCATTTCATTACAAATTTACAATATTTTTAATTTGCTTAAGCGCGAATATAATAATTTCACTTCCGTGCGAATACAATATATTATGAAATATCGACATTTTTTTTAAAAAAAAAAAACTTTAAGCAATTATGCAACAGAAGTTGTCTGTGTTGTTAGTGGTCCCGACTCCTGCATATTTTTCAAGTTTGTGGAAGAAAAGAGGTCTGTTAGATAGGGCAGTTAGAGACATTAAATGAAGGGAAATATCACCTTCCTTGGGACAACGCCGAATCTAATTTATATGATTTATCTTTTTTGTTCCGTTTAAAAAGGTTATATATTTTATATTTAGTAATAATTTAATTTTAAAATATTAATTTTATTTTTAATAAAACGATTTACTATAAATAAAATTACACAAATATCTATCACTCATTATAAACTAGACATTTTATAAAGAAATATTTTTTTCCCCTTACTAGGTAGCTAGTGGGTAGTGAATAGTGGTGATATATGGTGGTGCGTGGCTATTATTGGTGGAGACAAGTTTAATTACTCTGATGACAGCCGCCCTCACACGTGCATTCTGCCATCCCCTGCTACCTAAACCTAATATAACTAGCTTCAAATTATATAAAATAGTAGTAATAGTCAAATTTAAAATAACATGATCCGAAAATCTAGTTCATTGCATATATAGTACGTACTATATGTATTATTAATTAAATAGACAAGTCTTGTTATGGTCCGTGCATGCTATGCTTGGATATAAAAATGAAAGAGAGGTAAAACTAAACCAAAACATATGGTTGCAAATAGAAGACATAATACATAAATATGACTCTTAACTTGGTTTCATCGGACAACTATTTCTCTAACTTTGAGTTTGCAAAAGTAGACACTTAAATTTGTATAAAATTAAACAAGTAAACACACGTATTCTACATGACATAATACACATATGACATCATATATGACACAAAATTGTCATGTAGGGTGTCATGTAGGACGAATGTGCCTATTTAATATTCAGTTTTATACAAATTTAAATGCTTACTTGTGCACACACAAAGTTAAAGGTCATAGTTATCAGCTGACGTCAAATTAAGAATCATGCTTATGTAATATGCTTAAATAGAAATCGTAGCTAATGTGTAGAGTAATATAGTTAGTATTTAGAGTATGTAGAGGTCCTTTTTTTTTTTATATATATATATGTGCACTAAGGGCGTGTAGTCTCCATCAATGGTACGTACCAACATGGCCATTGTAATATTATTGTCTATTGAGGACGGCGCTCAAGTAGTCACACATTATTTTCCAATTTAATTCCAGATGTGAGATCTACCCACCAACACTCTTTATTTATTTATATACTACAACGTTCGTAACTAACATATAAACGGTAGTAATATTATAGCCTGTTCAAGTTGTTATTCTCTTTGATATTGCCTTCTCTTATCATACATTATAACGATTATATATACTATCTAAAAGTTTAAAGTGTTAGAAAAAATCGAAATACTTCACTAGATATGAAAGAAATAATTGAAGAAAAAGTATGGATGGCAGAGGAGCAGGTTAATGTACGTGTGCAACTGCATATAAATCTTCATACAGATTTCTTTTATGTTATAAAATTATATTTTTAGATGCTGAGGCCCCTGCCACTATATGTTATAGCTTGGTACTGACTAGTAAGTAGATTGTGTTAATTATAGAGTAAAGTGTAGTTAGCTTAATTAGGCTTACGTGAGAGATCCAACTTCCTTTACAGCTTTTTCCTTTTAACAGTCTCTGCACATACTACTTCTTACTTACAATTTATTTGTATTATTACCCACACGTGTATCCTAAATAATGGTACTATATATCTACAATTATTTAGTATCACCTAATCTAATTAACACTAAATGCATTTTTTCTCATAAATTATAAGTTCACTGAAATACTCCACTCTGAATTAGTCACATTATTATATTACAAGTTCATATCTAAAGGCACTTTTTAAGACCTACCCCAGTAAATTATTTTCACATACATTAGGAACTTGATTACCCTGAATATATGTACATTACATGAATGGTCTTAAATGCAACGAACGACAATGAACTTACACGATAATAATATACGCAATGCAATTTCATAATTGACAGTCACATAAATCACATGATAGGGGATTACGCGAAAACTGCAAACACGTGTTGATACTAAAACGGGTATGAGGCGTTAAACTACCCCAAGTCTAAACCGCAGGACAACAAGACAACACACGACTATTTAACTACTTATATTTTATCCTGATTTGCTGATTTGTGACCTTCCAATCCTCTTGAACATGCGCCATATCCTATCTAATTAATTCTCTTCAATACTTCTTTTGGTCTACCTAAACCCTTCTCGAATTCACAATTGTCAACCTCTCGCACATCTTCATTAAGGCCTCTTCATATGCCTGAATTATCTCAACCTCACTTTACTCATCTTATCCACCATTGAGGTCATGACTCCTACCTTATCCTATATGTCTTCATTCTAATCTTATCCTTCCTCATATGTTCACACATTCTCATTTTTATAACCACAATTTTTGGATTTGCGAATTCTTAACAGTCCAATACTCCTTCCTATACATCGTGTATACTCGCTAATACAATATGTAACATTTTTATCAGTCTCTCCCCCGTTACGTTGTATTAGAAACTCCATTCCATCCGAAATTACAATTAAAGAAAAAGAATTGAAGCTAAAACAACATATATTTTGGGATTGGAATCATAATAAATACAGTAAGATATATAGGGGTAGAGGAGTGATATCATATATAACGTCGTTTTCCTAGTGTAGAGCTCTCTATGTGTCTGATTAAGGCCATCTGCCCAAAAAAATAATAGTATATCTGACTACAACAGTACAGAATGGTAGTAGTAATGTATGTTAAAAAACATACTCACACACGCACGCATAAATCTCTCTCTTCTCTTTCCACCAAACCAATTCAATTTCTGCATTTACTTTCTCTCTCTCCAAAGGCCAAAATCTCTCGTTTTCCTAAATGTATCTATCTACTGCTATCTGAATTCTCTATTTACTTTTACCTATTTTAGTACCCCTTACCTTCCATACCCACATTTATACTACTCCCTCTGTCCCAATTTATATGACTTACTTTCCTTTTTAGTCAGTCCCAAAAAGAATGACACATTTCTATTTTAAGTAACAATTTGCCTATAAAATGTCTTTTTTACCCTTAATGAAATGATTTACAACCACACAAATTTCTATCATTCATTTTGGACCACAAGTTTTAAAAGTCTTTCCATTTTTCTTAAAGTTTGTGCCAAATCAAAGTACATCATATAAAATGGGACGGAGGGAGTATCAATACTCCTTCCTATACATCGTGTATACTCGCTAATACAATATGTAACATTTTTATCAGTCTCTCCCCCGTTACGTTGTATTAGAAACTCCATTCCATCCGAAATTACAATTAAAGAAAAAGAATTGAAGCTAAAACAACATATATTTTGGGATTGGAATCATAATAAATACAGTAAGATATATAGGGGTAGAGGAGTGATATCATATATAACGTCGTTTTCCTAGTGTAGAGCTCTCTATGTGTCTGATTAAGGCCATCTGCCCAAAAAAATAATAGTATATCTGACTACAACAGTACAGAATGGTAGTAGTAATGTATGTTAAAAAACATACTCACACACGCACGCATAAATCTCTCTCTTCTCTTTCCACCAAACCAATTCAATTTCTGCATTTACTTTCTCTCTCTCCAAAGGCCAAAATCTCTCGTTTTCCTAAATGTATCTATCTACTGCTATCTGAATTCTCTATTTACTTTTACCTATTTTAGTACCCCTTACCTTCCATACCCACATTTATACTACTCCCTCTGTCCCAATTTATATGACTTACTTTCCTTTTTAGTCAGTCCCAAAAAGAATGACACATTTCTATTTTAAGTAACAATTTGCCTATAAAATGTCTTTTTTACCCTTAATGAAATGATTTACAACCACACAAATTTCTATCATTCATTTTGGACCACAAGTTTTAAAAGTCTTTCCATTTTTCTTAAAGTTTGTGCCAAATCAAAGTACATCACATAAAATGGGACGGAGGGAGTAGTAATTTTCTACCTTACCTTTCATTATTCAATTACATTATTACCCCTTCCATCTTATTTTGCCACTTGTTCCCTAACCTCATTATATTACTCTCTTCTCCTCATACTTTCCTTTCTCCTTTGGTTTCAGTGCCTATTTTGTTTTGTTTTGTACTATATAAATGCATGCTACCTCCACTTTAATTTGTTATTATTATAACCACATATCTTGAAAATCAATCACTTTTTAGAGTTAGAGAAGAGATGTTGGCAATGGAAGAAATATTGTGTGAACTGAATAGAGAGGAGATGATGAATGAACAAGGTCTTCCACCTGGTTTTAGGTTTCATCCTACTGATGAAGAGCTTATCACTTTTTACTTAGCCTCTAAGGTCTTCAATGCTACTTTTTCTGCTGGTATTCAAATTCCTCAAGTTGATCTCAACAGATGTGAACCCTGGGAGCTTCCAGGTACATAATAATATTATACTTTGAACTTGAAACTTCAAAATTATAGATTTTTAAGATTCTCTCTGAACTTGTATCTTACATGAAAACATTTTTTTGAAGTGAAAGTTCAAAATTAGTGTTTCCTGAACTTGTAAATATTATCTTATCAAATTTTATAGCCAAAATTTAAAAATAAATTCTTAAAGTTTACTTTTGAAAGCCTATGGTCAAATGCTTTTTAAATATTATGTGATTTCTAAAATTTATACATAATTAATTACAAGAAATTAAAGTAATCAATTACTCAAAAAGATGCTTATGCTTTTTTTAAGTCACCCTTATAATTTGTCTCCAACATGGTTTTTGGGTTTGTCTCGTATGTTGTTAACATATGGTGGAATTTATATACTATATGACAGAGAATAGAGATACTAATATTCTCTATGGCTTTTGTCATTAAAAATATTTAATGAGAGACTTTATAGTATATTCTTTTCCATTAATATTTGCTTCCTTTATGTCTTTTACAACATCATAGTATTAATTGTCTAAATACTTCCAAGATCTTCTTCTCATCATGAATATTTTATTTTTTTGGAAATTATTAGACATATCTCTCTTTGATATATCTTCATATCATTAATGAGATACCAACTTCACTAACTTTTCATAATAATACATGTACCCTTTTGACCTTTCCCATTGTTTGTTGGAAAAAATAAATAAATCAAAATTTTAAGTGAATTCTAGAAAATTAATTTACAGGTTCTAGATACACATTAAGTGAATTTCTTAACATAAACCCCAATATTACTGCATTCTACCGACCCCATATGAGATACTTTAACTCTATTATTTATGAATGTGATACTTATATACGATTTTAGTTAAAATTACTGAATTCTATCAAATTTGTAACTCGCAATGTATATAATTTAATTTTGGAAGTGAAAATATTACAGAAGTGGCAAAGATGGGTGAAAGAGAGTGGTATTTTTTTAGCTTGAGGGACCGGAAATACCCAACCGGGTTAAGGACGAACCGGGCAACCGGAGCGGGTTATTGGAAAGCAACCGGTAAAGACCGTGAAGTTTACAGTGCAACTAACGGAGCACTCCTTGGAATGAAGAAAACACTTGTTTTTTACAAAGGAAGAGCTCCAAGGGGTGAGAAAACTAAGTGGGTTATGCATGAATACCGTCTTGACGGTGATTTCTCTTACCGTTACTCTTCTAAGGTACATTTTACTTGAATATACACATATAATTGTTGGGTGTATGAGTTTTTGTCCTTTTTTGGGTTGACTTTATTATAAAGTCTCGTGATATGTTAATTCATGATGTGATGTGATGTGAATTGATTGATGGATGGATTGATAGATGAATGATGGTGTTTTTATATTTATTCACAATTTTCTGATTCATAAAAATCTAACATAAATGTATAGTGAAAAATCATGTTGATGCTAGTAATTTCATATTGAAGGGATTCCCTAACCTAACCTAACCTAAATTAAACTAGGAGTGGTATTCATGAATTGCTGTGACTTGAAATATATGTAAAGATTACGTTAGAGTAGCATAAATGTTACTATTACTTGAGTTATGCGAAGGTTACTAATTATTATCGGAAACAACGTTTCTATTTTGAAGGTATATAGGAATAAGGTTTATGTACACTACTCTATTTATTACACTATTGTTGCTTGGTTTAAGTTTAGGACATTTTGGGAGAATGTGATGAGCAACATGAGTTGTTAGGTGCTTTAATGTGATTTAATATGGTTGGCAGGAGGAATGGGTGATATGCAGAATACTACACAAAGTAGGGGAGAAGAAAAATGCAATATATGAAGGGGCAGGTGGTGGTGGTGGGTCTACATACCCTACTTTAAAAACATGGTCATCATCAGCAGCAGTGAATTCACCTTTAACAACAAATCCAAAAACATTACAAATATCACACAATAACCATTATCTATTTCAGCACCATGAAAATGACCTATTGAAATCCCTCTTTAATGTTTCCCAAACAACAAACCTATTACCAATGAATAATAATGTTGCCTTTTCCTCAACCAAAAGATACAAAGACAACAAACAAGAGGAGGAGGATATGACAAACAAAAACTCATCCAATAGCGTTGTGATCAATCAACAAATTTGCATGAAATCATCACAAGGCAACTACTTATCTTCTCCGTTATGTTACAACAATAATGATCAAAATGATGCTTTTGTGATGAATAATTCCGATTGGAGTAGTAGTTTAGCGGGAATGGAGGAGGGGATTATACCATGCAATTATTTCAATAATGTTGTGATGGATAATTGTCCCATCAAAATTGCTGCAGAATCTTGGCCTCTCCATCTCTAGTAGTATGTACCTAGGGAGTAATTAATTATGACTAGTGTTATGTCATCCCTATAATATAAAGAGCTACCCTTTAGCTATATGTAATTAATTCAGGTTGCTTTATTCTGAAACCTGCATGTTGCTTGTTCCTTTAGTTTTTTTATATATGTAAGAAAAATATTATATATATATATATAACCTTGTCTATTACTTGCTCCGTTTTAATTTGTTTGTTACTAGTATATAATAGTTTGATGTAAGATTTAATACGTAAAGCTATTGAATGTGTTTTGATGATGTCTGTAGTTAGATTCATATTTAAGGCCGGTGATTTAAGAATGACTATATGATGAGATTGGAACCCGACCCGTCTCTTCACCTGATTGTTAAATTCTGTGCAAATGGTGATAGAGAATTTGGTGACTGATTTAATATGATTTGTAATTAAATCCATCAAATCAGCTAAGTTAAGCATGATATAAGATGAAGTTATACAAATCCTTCATCGATTTTGACTATACCTGCCGGTGTCTCTTTATCATTTTTGCTTTGCTGCTCAACGTAAAATAAAAATGATCAATTTAATTTTATCAAAAATGTTGAGTTGTTACCGACTAAGAAAGTAGTTGAAAGCCACTTGACTATAAAGAGAACAATTGACCAATTCGGAAGTCAAAAACAAGAATGAAAGGAAGAGATTGATATACTGACAACAGTCAGTTAACGCAAAGGCAAGCATTTTTCATCGATCTAGTGGCTAGTGAATCAACTAGAACCAAGTATCTATTTTGCAATGATAATGTTGATTGGGCTCAATCCCAAACAGTTATTTGGGCCTTGTGCATGTGGAAAGACATACTCATAACAATAGGGCCCATATTTATAAGAGTCATAATCAACAATTGCAATGTAAAAAGAGCAGTATAGCATAAACATCACATGTATGGTCAGAATTTTGAATATTCAAAGAAAAACAAACTTTCCTTTCAATCCAAAGCCAATAAAGCACCATGCTTTAAGTCTCAGCGTGCACTGAATTTCCTACTACTTATGCTACTATATATGTATACAATTACTTAATAAAATAAAAACTTTGCTTCAAAGCAAACTTACATACCCTATATTAACCCAACTCTCCCTCTCTATTTCTCATTCATTCTAAACACAAACAATATTCATACTATACTACTCAAAAAAACATGGCTCTTTTCTCTTTTACAAAATTTTCACTTCTTGTTTTATTTTCAATTTCCCTCCTGGCCTGCACCTCATTGGCTCGCGATCATTCCATCATTGGATACTCCTCTGATGACTTGACTTGCATCGATAAGCTCATTAATCTCTTCGATAAATGGATGGATAAACATGGAAAGATTTATAAGAGCATTGAAGAGAAGTTGCATAGGTTTGAGATTTTCAAGGAAAATTTGAAGCATATTGATGAAAGAAATAAAATTGTTACCAACTATTGGCTTGGTGTAAATGAGTTCTCTGATTTGAGCCATGATGAGTTCAAGAAAATGTATTTAGGACTTAAAGTTGATCAAGATTTGCTTAACAAAAGAGAACAATTATCTCAAGAAGAATTTGCCTATAGAGATTTTGTAGATTTGCCTAAGTCTGTTGATTGGAGGAAAAAAGGTGCTGTCACCCCTGTCAAGAACCAGGGTCAATGTGGTAAGTTCCCTATTTTGGTCACAATAATTACTATATGTTACTTTGATATGATAAAGTGATAAAATTCTGCGTACGTCACTAATGTATGTATGTAGGTAGTTGTTGGGCGTTTTCAACTGTGGCGGCAGTAGAGGGAATTAACCAAATAAAGACAGGGAATTTGACATCCTTGTCTGAACAAGAGTTGATAGACTGTGACACAACTTATAACAATGGTTGCAATGGAGGCCTAATGGATTATGCATTCCAATTCATTGTATCTAATGGTGGTCTTCACAAAGAGGATGATTATCCTTACCTCATGGAAGAAGGCACTTGTGATGAAAAAAGAGTAAATATTATAGAAAGAATGTTAATTACTTCCCTTAATAATACTATAATTGTTGGTATTAATTGAGGATATTTAAATGTTTTAGGATGAGTCAGAGGTGGTTACTATTGATGGTTACCATGATGTGCCAGCCAATGATGAACAAAGTCTATTGAAAGCACTTGCAAACCAACCTTTGAGTGTGGCCATTGAGGCTTCTACTAGAGATTTTCAATTCTATAGTGGGGTAAACATCCTAGCTAATTAATTCCCCCCTAATAGTTATAAAACATGCATGTCATAACATTTTTGTTTATACAAAAACGTTATCAGTCAAACTTTTCTATAACGATGATGATTGAAAAATGGTATGCATGCAGGGTGTGTTTGATGGGCATTGTGGAACAGATTTGGATCATGGAGTGTCAGCAGTAGGATATGGATCCACAAAAGGAGCAGATTACATCATTGTGAAGAATTCATGGGGGCCCAAATGGGGAGAAAAGGGCTTTATTAGGATGAAGAGAAATACAGGCAAGCCTGAAGGACTTTGTGGTATTAACAAAATGGTCTCTTTCCCACTCAAAAAGAAGTGAACACAACCAAAGTGGCTATATTATAAATGTTTTTTCTTCTTCTGAATTAATGTTTTATTTCTGATTCAACAGGCACTCTGTTATCTTTGATTAACAAATTTTAATGTACTACAAAATTTTACGTACGATGTAATAAATTTCTTAATGAATTACTGTTTTTTTTTGGGATTTAACTCTACCTTTTATAGTTTTTTAATTATTTTTTACATAACTTTTCATTTTAATGGATAAAATAGAGAGACATTAATTTTAATTTAGTCAGAGTTAATTAGTAGGGCACATGTTGAAAGTTGTCCCTTATTGGAGAATGATGTGTGGCCGGCAAAGTTTGAAACAAACTTTTCATATTAAGTATACTCTTTTTTTCCGTTTCAAATTATCTAGCGTATTTTTTTTATGTGTTCCTTAAAGAAGATTTAATTAGAAAGATTTTTTTTTTTTTTTATGTTTTAAATATAATTTTTTTATTGAATATTTATTCTATTTATATGTTATCAATATCATAATTGAAGTATTTTATAGTTTTCAAGAACAATTATTACTTAGAAAAAATGATAATTTCTTAAACTTTTAAAATAGCAAGTAATTTGTTACGGAGGGAGTATTTGTTTGATCAAGTTGTTAAAAGTTATTTATTTTAAAAAATATTTTCAAAATAAGTACTTTAAAAGAGAGTAATAGTTTGTATTTGACTAGTCAATTTGAATTATTATTTTTGTATTTTTGCTCAAGGCTCCAAAACCAACCGTGCCTCCAGTAAAAAAAAAAATATTTTTCTGCTTTCGAACGACAGATTTTTCTATTTCTAAAAAATATTTATTTTTTTCTTAAAATTTTAATCAATGGAGATATTACTATAAAGAAATTGAAATCTTGAATTTGAAGACGATGAAAAATCAACTTATGATAATAACTATTGGTATCAAAATCAACTTCATTCTCTACCACATATATGGTCATGAGGTACACTTACCTAATTAAGTCAACTCACTAATATGTACAAATATGAAAACTCATACAAGAAAAGTTGAAAAATATAATTTCACTTTAACATACACAAGATTTGGAAAAATTAATAATCATTAAGCCCTACCACCAACACTTTGATGATCTTCATTGATAACAATATTTTCATTTTCCTCAAGTGATTTTCCCATAGTCTCACTAGTGAAAAAATATGTAGTGATCATTCCCACTACACAAACTCCAGCTAGTAATATTAAAGAGGCTGTCATTCCAATTCCTTCATTATATCCATCTTTTTTATTCTGAGAAGCCCATAAAAATCCTATCGATCCGATTATCGCACCCAATTTTCCTACAGCTCCAGAAATTCCATGACATGTTGTTCTGAAACGAGCAGGGAAAAGCTCCGCGGGCACGATGAAGGTAGTCGTGTTCGGACCGAAATTGGAGAAGAAGAATGTTAGTCCATACAAAAACATGAACCCTATATTGGTGTTATTATTCCAATAGGAGTAATATGGAATTCCAATTGCCAATAAGCTAATTGCCATGAAGAAAAATCCCATTATTTGAATTTTGACTCTCCCAATTCGGTCAATGAAGTACATTGTTGCAAAATAGCCAGGAATTGTTGAACAAATTGCAATAATAGCCTGAATTCTTGCAACTTCAAAAGCTTCTTGAAATGCATTGACATTGTGGTTATTACTTAAATATCTTTTGTATATTTGGGATTGAAACAGATTGCTGCTATAGAAAACAATATCAACTAGGAACCATGAAATTGAACAAGCAAAAAGATCAATGCCATGGTTATGAATGAAAGTTTTGGAGAAGAGTGAATAATTAGAGCTCGGTGAATTTGGTAAGTATGTAGAAAATTCCTCAACGATTTGACTTGCTGAAATATCAAGTACTTTTTCCATGTCCCTGGCTGCTTGTGGCACATCTCTTTCGACTAAAGCCGTATACCTATCGTTAAAACATATAAGTGAGATATTTTTCTAGAACTTAAAAGATGAAAGTGTGTCATATAAATTGGGATGTAAGTACCTGGCGGTCTCGGGCATCATCATGCGCCAATAATAAGTGAGTCCAGCAGGAATAGCACCAATCATAAGTATTAATCTCCAAGCCAAATCAGCACCATGACTTCCTCCATTAGCACGATTAAAAATTGAACAAACAATCATTGTGACAGTTGAACTAGCAAGTATACCAAATCCTTGCATTGAAAAAACCCCAGCAATAAAAGCACCCCTAGTTTTTCTATTAGCAAATTCAGACATAATTGTGGCTGATAAAGGGTAATCTCCACCAATCCCAATTCCCAATAAAAACCTAAAAAATCCAAGACTTAGTAAAACACAAGTCCTAGACGTACATATTGAGTGTCCACATCCAAATGAGCTCAACACCATTATCATTAGAGCAAAGCCGTAGACTTTGCGTCGGCCGATTAGGTCACCTAATCGGCCGAAAACTAACTGACCTATAACGGTCCCTAGAAGGGCTGTCACGACCATAGCAGACGTGACAGCTCTAGG